TATGGTCTTACATCCATATAAGTAAAGATAAATTAATACAAGAAAAAGTTGATAATTACAATACACTAAAAATCACTAAAGAGAATGATGAATATACATGGTAACCCTTGGTTCGACATTTAATTTTTTTTTTTTTTTAATTTACAGTTAGGTTAGGGTGTCCTTTCATTAATTTTTGTACAATTCAAGATTAATCTCTCTCTAAATAATATTAAAAACACATATCTTCTACATTAATTTGATACATTTAAAATAATTAATTTATTTAAATGCTGACCTCAAGGTATTTTTAATGTATTATTGGACATTTTTCAATATACCCTGGACTCTGAAGACTAGATAGCACAGTCATGTCATGGCTTAAAGCGATGAGACTAGCTAAATCCCCAAAACAACTTTCTTTGTGTTCTTCTTCGTCCTCCTCATGTTCCCTATGCAAATCAGAGACAAAAAGGCAAGCAAAAGAGAAGGGACTGGTGAAGGTTTAAGTTAGCTAGTCTAAAGAGGAAAGGTAGATCTAACATTAAACAGAATCTCTTAAATAATTAAAAGTTTGAAATTTTAAATTAAAAATTTTAATTAATAATTTAAATAATTTAATGATAATCTCTTTTCGTTAAAAGTAAAAAATTTTAATTTTGAATCGTATCGCATAAAATGTAAATGAGGTAGGATAGAAAATAAGAAAAAATTACCTTTTATTATACAACTAATTATAAAAAAAATTAAAAATTTTAAATTTGAACATTGAAATAAATAAAAAGAATCAAAGGAAGAGATAAGCTATTATTAGTATTAACCCATCATATTTATAATCTACTAAAAAACAAAATAAAGGTAGATCTGGGAAGTACACCTTAGATATGAACTGTGTCGGGAGAAGAAAAGAAAGAAAGAGAAGAAAAAGGAAAGGAAATTTCGAAGGAGAAAGGTGGTAAAGGGAGAAATTAAGCTTTATTAAAGGCAAAGTTAAGAACAGAAGAAGAAACCAGCAAGATTGCGGAAAGCAAGCACCGGACAATATCCAGAGAAAAGGAGCGTGAATTCGAAGGCTCAGGAAGTTTCCTGGCAGAGCTGGAACACAACAAATTAAACTTACGTAGAACTTGGGAGAATCCTGCTGCTTTTTTTTTTGAATCCTTTCAATCATGGAAAATCAAAGAAAATATTAAGAGTAGTAAATTTTAAGCATCTTTAACTTGCTCCGATATATATATATATATATATGCATTTCCTTTTTCATGAAACAAAATCTTAGTTAAAAACCATAAAAAATATCTTAAAAAATATTTAAAAAATTGAATGCATTAAAAAAATTTTTTATTGAAGGTTAAAAAAAACTGTTTTTCTTTTTTGTCATTAGGCCAAAAGTGCCACAAGCAACGCTCAAATAGCAAAGGTACTTTTTTTTTTTGAACAAATACAAAATTGTACCGGAGGTACATTTGAAACAAGGGGCCCCTTCAATAATTGAAGTTTTTGTTGTCAAAATTTAAATGATAATTAAAAGTTAAAATTAAAAACTAAAATCAACAATTAATTTGTTAAGTGGTACAAGATTTCAGAATTGATAACTAAAATTAAATTTCTTTTAATTTTTTAATTTTAATTTGGTGTTATTTAATTCTTGGCATTTTAATATATTAGTTCTGTAATTTTAATTTATTCTCTGTTTGGATTGAAAAAATTAGAGGAGAAAAAGAGGAGAGTAAGAGAAAGAACATATTTTCTTGTTTGAATAATAAATTTTAATGAAAGAAATTAAAATAAAGAGAGACGGAGCCTCTTCCTTTCTTTGGTTTTCAATCTTTTTGATTTTGAGGAATTGTGATGAATTATATTACTTAATTTATTTTTA